AAAAAAAAAAAAAAAAAAAAAAAAAGTATAGACTCTAAAGTCAGAAGCTTTTTAAATAGTGTGTGGCCCACTCTCTGGCTAAATATAAAACAAATTTTCTTGCCCGTGTTACAGAGAACATCTTCATAAACTGACTAAAAAATTCAGGATAAAATTTATTTTTGCTACTATTTTACTTTTTGTATTTTTCTTAGCTTGGAAAATTACAGTGAACTAGTCAGTTTAATCTTTTCTATTAACATGCTACCACCATTCTACATTAATTGCAAATGTAACATACAGAGGGTCTTTTCTTAAGACTTTTGTTAATCATGGAAACATTTCAAATTGGGTTTGAGGGTTTTTTTTTAAGTTTTTGTTTTTTTGGGTTTTTTGTTAAGATGTTTTGTTTTGTTTTTTTAACAAAGCTTAAATCTTGAGCCATATTTCAACTTATATATATTCTATACCCATTACAGCCTTATTGGTTGGTACACAGGCAGGTTAATTGTTTTTATTTTGCTTTTAAAGATTTTTTTTTTTCTTAGCAGCTTCACCAGATGCTGCCTTTTGTGTATGTGTGTGGATAGGTGGTAATCAATAGAATGGGACACATTGAAAGGTAATCTGGAAAGAAGAAATTAAGTGTGCACTTCCCCCTTCCCCCACTGCTTTGTGATGTTTGGAGAAGACTATAAAATACATAAATAATATTTATTTTGAAATCTTTGGTGTTTTACATGAGCTATTCAGTTCTTGTCTTGTTCACCCTGGAAGACTCTGGTCACTGGAGAAGTAGTGACTTATAGGAGACTGAAAAGTGATCAATAGAGGGAGGGGAAGGGACTCTTAGTCTCAGTTCAAGACTCTTATTTTTAATACCTAACTCCAGTGTTGAATAAACACTTGGGAGAAATAATATCTTTGTTAGATCTTTAATGCTGCAACCACCGCCTCTTTTAAATGTAGAAAGAGAGCAAGCTCATGAGATGGGACATCTTCTGAGATTCCCGAGAAGTCCTCCAGGAAAAAACAGAAGAGACTATGACTGATCATTTCAGGATTTAAAAAAAGGAGACGGAAGTGAACAGCAGGGTCCCTCAAGGTTCTCTGTTGGGACCTGTGCTGTCCATATTCATTAATTATCTGAAAATGGGCTGAATTGTGAAAAGGCAAAGTTCGCAGACAATACAAAATTATGACAGGTTGTTAAGCAGACAATGAGGAGTTACAGAAGGATGTTACAAAACTGGGTGAGTGGGTAACAGAATGGCTGATAAAATTCAATGTTAAGTACAAAGAAATGCACACTGGAAAAAATAATCCCAAACATAGGGGTACAATAATGTGTTCTAAATTAGCTGTTACCATCCACGAAAGAGCTCTTCGAGTCATCATGGCTAGTTCTCTGGAAACCTGCTCAATGCACGCAGTGGTTAAAAAGGCTAACAGCATATTAGGAGCTATTAGGAAAGATATAGATAAGATCGTAAATATCATAAATCCATAGGATGCCCACACCTTGAATACTGTGTCCAGTTGTGGTTGCCCCGTCTCAAAAAGGATAGAGTGGAAATGGAAAAGGTTCAGAGACGGGCAACAAAGACGATCATGGGTATGGAATAGCTTCCATGTGAGAAGAGGCTATAAAGATTAGAGCTCTTAGAAAAGAGTTGAATGGGGGGTGGTGGGAAATATGATAGAGGTCTATAAATTCATGAGTGGTGTGAGCAAAGTGAATAGAGCGGTGTTATTTATCCTTTCACACAATATAAAAACCGAGGTCAGCCAATGAAATTTAATAGGCAGCAGATTTAATACAAACAAGAGGAAGTACTTTTTCACACAACATACAACTAACCTATGGAACTCATTGCCAAGGGATGTTGTGATGGCCAGAAGTATAACTGGGTTCAGAAAGCACTGGATAAGTTCATGACAAATAGCTAATGATTGACCTATTAGCCAAGGTGATTGGGGTGACCCTAAACATCTGACTCCCAGAAGACGGGGTGGATCAGTCCATAATTGCCCTATTGCATGTACACACCCTGAAGCACTGGTACAGGCCACTGCTGGAGACAATATCCTGGGCCAGATGGACCAGGGTCTGACCCAGTATGGCAGCTGTTAAGTTCTTATGTTGAAACTTCTTCGGGTGGGGGAGAAACTCTTTCAGGCCTTGTCTTCTTTATACATCATATTAAATAA